TCATTGTTGTTTGGCGGGTCCGGGCTGGGGATTCGAACCCACCACCTTAGGTGTACGTGGCTGGCGCCTTAGCCGGTTGAGCTATAGGTGCCGAGCTCTTTGCTCATTCTTTATGAATCATTTTGCTTTAAATGCATATTTAGTACATAGCACAAATTTTGGATTTTTTGTTTTGTTCGTTTAAAAAATCTGGGAGGCTTTAATAGAAGAGATTGGTCCATTTATTGATGTGATTACTGTATCTCATAAGCACACAAGTTTCACTAAGGCAGGAATTTTTGTTTTGTATTTTTTTTCTGTACACAGAAGGCATAAGATGGACTAGTTTTCTTTCATCATTTTTATTTTTTATTTTTATTTTATTCATATTGTATAAACATAATTTAGAAGATTTACAGCCTTTTTTTTTTAACTCCTTCTTTATACAGCAAGTATCTGCTAAGGAAGAGTCTAGGCGTGGGGTCTGGGGAGTGGGTAGCAGTTAGCTTAGAATGAGGTTCACGGTCTCAGAACTCTTTCTAACCTAGACTGTGCCCTGAGCATCTCAGCTGTTCCTGCTCCAGGTTAGCAGGGGGCCTGTGTGGTCATGAGGAAGCCAGGCTGTCAGAGATCCTTCCTGGAATGGTTTTACATTTACTTTTCTTTGATTGAATGAGATAAACAACCACAAGATCTGATTGCCACCCACCATTTCACCTTCATCTGGAAAACAGTTAAACCTAACTAATCTGGCGTCATTAGAAATGGGATATTCTAGATAGTAAAGAAATTACTCAGATCACCAAAGCTCTAAACCAAAGACTTTTTAAAAAGAATTTTTATTTGTTTCATGGTATCTTTTTGTTTACTCAAATGAATGCTTATCTCCTTCACTGCAGTCACTGAGAAGTTCCAATTTTTGTCCAAATGTGTCCAGAACTCTTCTCTGAGGATTGACTTAAGCACACATGTTGTAGACTACTCAGTACGATGGAGCTTCACTCTTGAGGAATAAATTTTATATTTGAAACGATCTCGAGTAGGTCTTGTGAAAGTAAATCCAGTAAATATGGGAAATCAATCTGAGAAATACTATTTAGGATCCAAAATAAAATAAAATATTTTATTTTTTCCCCTATGCTTAATAAATTACCTCTGGCTATAATTTGAAAAGGGGATTTTTATGAATGTTTTGAGGGTTAGTAGCACCAATAGATAAACATAGAGATTTCTCGGCGGATTGCTTTGAAATAGCACACTCCCTTGGATGTATGTGTTTTTCCGTGTTTTAAGAAAATGTTTTAGTATTACAGTCTTAGTTTGTTAAGGGTATAGAATGAAGACGTTCCTGACATTACTGAACTCCCCTACTCTCCCCGTTTTCCCTTCTCCGTGTCCTGTGTCCTTGCCGTGCTCCTTCTATGCTTTAGTCCAGAAGCAAACATGATGTTACTGAGTCGTTTGGTGGCACTAAGTTTATTGACATCATGTCTGTCACATAACAAAAATGAAAATGTACTTGTGAACCAGGACTTCATCACACAGCCATAGAGTTGCCCCCAAACATGAGCATTGCCATTTTTCTTTGTTCTAGGCTGCTCTCAGGTTTTGCTGCCTTGTTCCCTAACTGGATCCCCGGAGCCCGGCACATGTATCCGCCCAGTAGATGTTTATTGAGTTAGTCAATGCATGAATCACTTGCTTTGGGTAATTCAAGCCCATCAGTCAACTGTGTGTTGAGCATTTATTTCATGCCAGGTATTAGGTACCCGGGGGATACAGTGAATCTGAAATGCCCCTTTCCCCATGAAGCTTGTATTCTAATGGGAGATACGAGCAGTAGAGAACTGACTAAAATAATCATAGGTCATGATACAGGACACGGAGTAAAGGAAGGGGGATTGTAGTAGAGACTAAGAGGGTGCCTGCTTTGGACAAAGTGGTCATAAAATGACTTCTAAGGTGATACATAAAGGAAGATAAGGAGATTACAGGCCAAGAGCCAGGTAAGGGCTTTACATGCAAAGAGCAATTTGGTGAGTTGTAGGAAATGACAGACAGTCAGGGTGGCTGGTATGAGTGAAGCCAGCCGGGCCACATCCTGTGGGACTTCACATGGGCATTGGGGTGTTATTTTCAGTGCACTGAAAAGAGATTATTGAAGCAGAGAGGTGACACTGCAGAAAGATCATCCTGGCAGCTGGGAGGAGACGGCAGTGGCCGGGGAGGTGAGTCAGGATGTTGGCTGTTTTGATAAAGGATTTTATGTATAGTCAAGCCTATGAGACATGAGAAAAATGAGTCTCCAGCTCCCACCTCCTGCTAGTTTCTCTTGGGTTATTTAAGTGTCCGTGTTAAGTGGATGGTAGCAAAATAGCCAGAGCTTACTCCCTCGTAGGCCTAAGAGGTAAGAAGACATCCTGAAACATAATTACCTTTGAAGCTTTTGTCATCACTATTCAAATCAGCCTTGGATGATACTCTCTTGGCTCAGAGCAACCTGTTGTGCTGCCTCTTTCCTTCCCGGTTGGGTCTTTCTTTACCCTTCTCCGCTGAGATCACCTAATCCATGCTGCTTAAAATTCACACTAGACTCTCCTTTCTTCACATTCTTTCTTTCTATAATCTGACCCCGTATCTCAGCTGAGCAAGTCTGCTCTTGAAACTTTGATTTGAAATACCAGTAGGACCTTAGTCTATTAGAGTTTTTCTTAAGCAGTTAGAAATATCAAAGTCCCTCCCAAGGAAGTGGGCTCAGGAAACCCTTTTAACATAGAGATGCTTGGTGATGCATGAGGAGATTCTGATTCCGTAGGTCCGGGTGGTGCTGGGAACATGCACACAACCAGGTTCCAAACCACTGCCATGGGAGATTTCTAACAGCCGGGCTGCCAGGTGTGCTCACCAAAGGCCAGAGCCCAGCTCACTCCCAGCCACAGTGTGCTTTATACATCCAGGCAGTCCCTGGGGCCATCCCTCCTCCCAGAGCCCTGAGGACAGCAGGGCCCTGGCTGAAGTCAGAACATGCAATTTAGAGGCTGTGCAGTTTCAGAGGAGGAGGAAAAGATGTCAAAAGCCAGAACTGACCCTAGGGGGAAAAAACGTCAGAACTCCTGAATCTGGAGCAAGAAGGGGGTTCCATGAGTAGGAAATAGTTCATTCCTCAGTACAAATCTAACTACACCTCACTTTCGCCCCCACGCTAGCTGAGGAAGCACTAGTTAGAAGAGCCTTCAGGGAAAGAAGGGAAGGAGGTATTTTTGGACTGTGGGATTCTGCAGACGGGGATGATGGAGCCAGCGTGGTCACAGAAATACTGGGGCTGATGAGAGGGGCCTGAACACAGCAAGGCATAGGAACAGTGCCAGAGAAATTATATATTCTAAGTTCTGTGTAAAGACAGCCCTCAGCTCCCCACCTCCTGGGACACACAAGCTGTGGCCAGGGCCAGAGCTCCGCCCGGATCCGGGAATGTGCAGTACCATTTCAGGCATACTGTAGGTTAAATAGCAGGCGTGGAGATCTAATTCCATTTTTATGGAAAACTATTTCTATGGTTAAAATATGTTCTATATCCCCCCTACCAAACTTGCAAGTATATTTTATGAGGACATATGTGTTTAAGCTTGAAGACTGCCCACATGTAGCACTTGGGGAAATGCACTTAGGTGCTAGCGCGTGGCCTGCAGCCGGAGCACACGCAGTTCACACCCTTTGCCATCTCACATGCTGTATTAGCCCCATCTTGGTAAATGCCAGAAAAAGTCTAGGAAAAGACTTGGTGTGATCTATTTTCCCATAACAGGATGGGACTAGCGGAGAGTATTTAATTAGAGGACAAGCTTAGTTGTAATTAAAATTCGGTGCAAGTCGCTTATGTATAAATCATCCTCTGAGCTAAATAATACATCTCCACATTTGTTGTTCTCTTTCTCCATTTCA